AGGACGAGAACACGATAAGAAAAATGAGAACTGAAAATCATCATTAAATATCAGTAAAAATCAGTAATTCAGTAAAAAGTTTATAATATAACACCTGATGACGGCTATATATAGCCGAAACATGTCGTAAATGTTCCACATGTAAATCGAGTACTCGATAAGGAACTTTTAATTATCTTATATTGTGATTGACGGCCAATTTTAATATATTTTTAATATTTTTAATACTGATAATAATCTAATAAATACAATATAATAGAAATAATGTTAGAAGGTGTGGAATGGATTCAGCAGGCTCGGGATAGCACCAAATGTCAGGCTTTCGTGAACATAGTAATGAAACTCTTGTCTACAAAATCGGGGACTCTCTTTTTGAGTAATTAAGCCACTATTAATTTCTCATAAAATTCCCCCTGCGCTATGATATTAACGGAAGAACAATATTATCACCACTGAGAATATTGTTCTAGTTCTAGAAACTACCCCAATTCCACAGCCTGTCGATATTTGATTTCGTACACGTCACAGATGTCCCAAGATGACAGACTTTGTTAATTAGACATGTGTTTCGGACAATTGGAAGAGTGACATCCTGAAACTCACTGTCTGATGAGAATTTCTTATGCATCTGTCTGCTTGCTGGGTTATCGGTCATACGATCGGATGTTGCAGACCAAAAGCAATGTGATATCGATTCACGCCCGCCATATTTGTAAGACCAGATGAACATGGTCACAGTCCGACTCGTTACTGGGAAACAGACATAGATGAGATTAGAAAATTTAAATAAACTTAGGGAAATTTGTTCGAGAAGTCATAAACATAACCGAAGACTTTGGAACAAAAGAGGGTTAGTCTTAACTCCGAAATGACCAACATGTTGGTTAAAATTATTCAACTATAGTCCGCGATCGTAATCTTGAGACTTCTGGGGTGGGAAGAGGGGTGAAGGAGGAAAGACAGCATCTGCCTTTAACGCTTCCTGCATCCCTTGCAAGTCTCAAGATTACAGTCGCGTACTGTAGCTGTTACGGCGTAAGATACGGTTAAATTTGTTGTTTGTTAAGGTAATAAGAACAAATCAACAAGAGGCTTTCTTGCAGTGCTGAATATTTAAACGTCTTTGTCTCTCTTAAGTCACTGGACCAAAGTTTTAAATTGAAGTTGCTTATAATAAAATAAAATAAATTGAAGGACTTCACGACAGTTGTTATGGACTTTTCAGTTTATTAATGATTAATGGATTAAAAGTTGGTCTAGCTGTAGGCTTACTTGTTATGCCAGATTATCAGTCGGTTATATTAAACTCATTAACTGATTTACTAACTCTGTGTTGCAGGTTATCTTAAAAATCGATAATTAATCATAAGTTTAAGGCATTTTCAACTTTTAGAGAAACCAAAGATCTATTCTTTATCTGTTAGCTCATCAGTCATTTCTTCTCAAACACTCTTAGATTAGAATCTTAATACTGATTTAGTTCTTATGAATATATATTTGCCGATTAATGTATTGATTCACGAATGAAGTTCAATTTATATCACTGTTTATTCGCGACTATGAATACACCAAACACAGCACACCAGCAGCAAAGATGAGTGGAAAGGTGTATATTTACGTAACTCATTGGAACTGTTATTAATTTGTTGCAGATATATATATATATTTATTTATTTTAAATGGACTGCAATGAATATTAATGACATAAACATGTTTGAAACGGAAGGTATAGATACTAATAAGATCTACGATAAGCCGTTTACGAGAACATAAAAAAATGTACATCGACTTAATGCAATATAGAGGTTTATCCTATTGAGCCAAAATTAAATTCATACGTTGTTAGCCAGTTAGTTGAGACTTCAGCCCGAGGCTAGCGCCTACATAGAACTGGCTAATGATATCTTTTATCTGATCGGTTCTCCTGTGTTTTAGTGTATGGAGTGCCACTGAACAACAAAAGTTAAATAATTTTTTTTTATTTTTAATTTTTTAAAGTATTAGCCGGGTTAACACGGCCAACAGAGAGATGAAACATGAGGACGGACAGCCATTTAAGCCACTTAATCAAAAAACACAGCGAAACACTTCTTTCCTTTCAAAATTAAAAATGTTCTTCACTGTCGTATTATTTCACTTATATTATTGTGGTTATAATAATATTAGCCTAACTTATTGCACAAGGAAGTATAGACTTATGATATCCTCATGTCCGTGTGTCCAGCACCACCAAATAACTTCATGAAACATCGACGGAAGGATTTTCATTAACTTTTTATGAACAAGAAGCCTTTTGTACTTTTTAATTTTCTACTATCACTGTCAGTAATACAATATTTTGTAAACTTATACAATTGGCTAGATACTTCTCAAAATATGTAGCGTTTGTTATGTACATTTCTATACAGAATAAAAAAAACATGGCTGCCGCGCGAAATCTAGACCTATATTTAGCTACGTGTTTGAAATAATAAGTAACGAAACATTGGAGTTAGATAAGAAGTTTGACACTGTTATCGAACATCAACACCCCTGAAAATTCCGTAGGAAATATTGGTTGCATGTCAACAATTACACTGCAACAATGTGGAATTTTGAGTGAAACTATGCACAGGTACGACCATTGGATTGTGTAATTATTCATTTATACTTCCTGACACATTCGGAATATAGATAGAAGCATTTATAGGAAATGAGGCAACGTCTTTCCACCCCATGAGTTCCAACTAAGAGATAATAAGCCAGAGACCTATATAGGCCAAATGTATGCTAATTAAAGGCATACATGAAACCGCGAGTGTTAATTATCACTTAAAAAAAACAAAATTCTTTCATAACCATTCCTAAAGACGCTAAGTAACTTTATAAGGCATATGTATATTTAAATGAGTCACTGATCTTTGATATGGATAACCCATCATTGTATGACTGGTGGACTATTTTTCTATACGATGGATTCATGTGTAGACCAAGTCAATGATCATACCGTTGAATGGGGTTTCTATCTCCTGCCCTTCATTTCATAGCTGGCCTCCAAGAAGGTCCTTTATCAGTTTCCAGATCTGAAGGAAAAGCTACGAGACAGAATACGATAATATGTAAACAGCTGGGTATACGATGGTCCGAAAATTGGTACTGACATTGACTTCTGTAGTCAAAGGCTAAATAAATTACATTCCTGATCTAAGAGGTCTTTACTTTTTGGTTTATTTAATATCAAGAACACATACTTTGAATGCATAAGATCAAGGCTGTATTTAACATGGGCATTAAGTTTTGTCTCCACTTTCGAAATGCCTTGTGTTCGATCTTACATGGCGCGGTAAGAAATTTTGTTAATTTATTTATAAGGAATAAATAATAATTGTGTGCATGTCACATAGTCAAGACACTGATTATAAACCTGGTTATTATAGACAAAACATCAGAGTAAAATAAATTTCTGTATACCAGTTAGACGCTAAGATTAAAATCGAACTGGTAGTGTGGAGAATTTGTGATATATGAAACGTTAGAAGAGAAGGTGATTCAGATCCTGTTTCCAAGCATCACGCCATGGAAATGCAAGTCTAATTGTGTGTGTGTGTGGGGGGGGGGGGGTAACAGTTTCTTTACTCTAGACCTCGCGATATGCACAGACCAACTGTTGTGGTAGTAAAATCAAGGTTATAAAGATGCTATGAGTTTAGTTTCAGCAGTAGAGATAATGAGTTTTGGCAGAGAAACCTTTTTTTTTTTTTTTACGAGAACAGACGTTATTTGAGGTTAATATTATTGGATGTGAAGGAAATGTGAACTGGACTGAAGCGCTCAAGATCATATCCGATGCTTACGACTGATAATTACTTTGGATTTTCGGATTATACTACCAGAGAAATAGTAGCCCGCCTAATGGTGTTCCATGTTTTTTATTACGAAAATTCTGCAACCAGACGTTACATAGACGTTCTTTGGGTGTACTAAATGTGACAGTTAAGTTCCCGGAATAACCGAATATATGTTTCATCGAATAGCCAGTGACCAATAACTAAGCAACGACGTGTCACGACGTGTCTGCTACTTGTGAGGTGATCAAGCGAGTAAAACAGATGTAGCGGAGTTACACAAACGCGTGTTTTCGTCCCGAGTAATAAGTCGTTGGGGAAACGCATTAACACCAAGGTTTGGGCAAAACTTAGGCAAAAGCGCGAGTGAAACTCTACAAATGTCAACAGAGGCTTACGGTGCTTATGTTATGAAAAAGTCGAGTGTCATATAAGGTTAAAGAGTGCACTCTCGTCACGAGCAAACGTGAAGAAAATTCTGATTTGTTTCTTTCATCACAAGGGCATTGTTCACTTTGAGTCTGTTGAACAAGGTCGAACAGTGAACCAGCATTGTTATTTGAAAATATTGGCAAGGTTAGATGAGGCTGTTCGTCAGAGAAGACCTGAACTTTGGCCTGATGTTTGGTTGACGCGCTCGCTGTCCGGAAGTTTCTGACCAAACAACTGATATTGAAAAGGAACCATCCTCGATATTTACTAAAACTGAAGACCTCTTTTGAAGGGCCACAGAATTTCAGACATTGCTGACATTAGAATACCATCCTGAAGAGGAGTTCCAGAAATGTTTTGAGCAGTGGAAATACCGATTCACTACTAGGAGACTACTTCGAAGGTGACGGCAACCATTAGCATGTAAGTAATTGAACAAAGATTTTATGGGAGCATTCCGAGAAGTTCATTTTCACAACTTATGCACCTTTCATAAACACAATTACCGGGACGGTTGATGGAATTGAATTTTGAACTCTGTCATTATAAGACACAAGACAAAAAGATAAATATGCCTGTTCATCGTCAATTGCAATTAAATTAGTCAGCGAATCTGTATGTGAACTCGTGAACTCATTACATTTTCACGCCAGTATGAGAACCTGTAGCCATGTCTCTTGTAGTTGACCGTTTCTGTACAAAATGAAAGCTTTACTAAGATACGTATAGATGAGCCGGGAACATCAAGTGAACTACAAGGTCACAAGATTGGCTTTGATTAACTCTGGTATTTACTGTGGCCCTCTCTGTCGATAGATGCACGGGCAGTTACAGCATGAAGCATATTCAAGCAGGACGTACTTCATTTGTCTCATTGTTGTGCAACGCGACATCATGTGGGGGCTTTGCTAAGCGACAGGAAGAGAGGAATAAGTGTGTTATTTAAAAGGGGGAACGATTATCATCATATCAAGATTGACAGGAAATATAACCCCTTTGTTAAATTAAGTAATCTTTTAGTATGGGACGTGTCTGGATGAATTGATATTTAAAGTGTATTGTGTATGAGCAGTAATCATTTCGACCCTTTGTGGTGATTGTAACTTATTTAAATCTTGCCTATTTCATTATTTGTCAATTAAGGTGAAAAGGCCCGTATTAAAAAGGACTGGACTTTTCATTCTGCCGTTAGATCGTAACTGAAGCTGTGTAAGATAAAATATATGACTATCATTGCTTACCAGTGATAGTTGCATGAATCTCCCTTTTGTCTTATTTGAAGATGGAGACAGCCAGTCTCCAGAACATTTAATTTTTATAATTTAAAATTTAAAATAATAGACAATCAAATAATGCCCAAAATGCCCTGATAATGATACTGGGATGGTGCACTGTGTAGTCTGGTAGAAATTTACTGATCTTTCATAGATGCTTACTTCCTCCATCATCAGGGCAATGAAGGGCCCTGATGATGGAGGTAATAAGCACCTTTGAAACATCAGCCAGTGAGAGTACAATGGTGCAGCATCCTAGAAGACAGTCATCTGCACACTCACTGACATAAGGACCTGAAATCCCATCAATCAATCTGACTTACTTCCAGCTGTTATTTTCACATCATCACTTTTGTATTTTCAGGAGTACCGCATAGAATGCCGATATAGTGCCCACACTTTATGCAACACACGTGGCTTCGGTGTTGTGGGCCTGTTTGAACAACCTGTTCCGTTCCTAAGTACTAGTGCCGCAGGAGTGTGTTAAAGTAATTTTCTCCTGCTGCTCAAGTGCTTATCAATGGGAAGGGACGCCCAACATGGCTGTTTGGATTTACTCGTATCACACGTATGACCATTCAGTTACTTCATACTTGCTCAGGACTGTGATCTGAGTTTATAAAAGGATAATGCAACAATTTAAGAAAGCTTTATTAGGGTGGCTAATAAATCCTTTGATCAAATATCTGGGAACAACAATAACCAATCAAAATGATACTCATGAGGAGGTTAGGAGGAGACTAAATTTAGGAAATGCTTTCTACTTCTCAGTTCAAAATATTTTGTCTGATTTCTAACAAACTGAAAATTGAAGTATACAAAACACTAACTTTGCCTGTTGTTTTGTACGGGTGCGAAACATGGTCTCTCACTCAGAGGGAGGAACACAGATTGCAGGTGTTTGAGAATCGGGTGTTGAGGAGGGTATTTGGGCTTAGGAGAGAAGACGATGGGGCGTGGAGAAAACTGCATAATTATGAGCTTAAAAATCTGTACTCCTCCCCCGGTATTGTCAGGGTGATTAAATCGAGAAGAATGCACCCGGTATTGGTTGGGAAGCCTGAGGGGAAGAGACCGCTGGGGAGACCTAGACGTAGATGGGAGGATAATATAAAGCAGAATCTGTGGGAGATAGGAGTTGAAGCAGAAAACTGTCTGAAACAGAAAAATATTCAGGTTCTCTACAACTTTTTATGACTAGGTTCTGTAACACTAGCCTATTCTGAGTTACGGACCACCAACTTGGATATGAACTCAAGATACACAAAGCAGATTAAAAGCAGCAGAGATTAAGAAACAAACAAGAATGGATAATACTTGAGAACAGAACATTTGGCAAGACAGAGTAGAAACCCTACATAAGAAGTTGCTCGAATGTGAAGGATTAGTGGTATGGTCATTAACACATGAATGACAGTAAGATTCCTTTGACAGCATCAGAAATGAAGATGACTTAATCATCTCTGAGATCAAATGAAGGAAGATACTCAAAAGAGTGTAGAGAAAGAGTGGACAGAGATACAAACAAGCAGTTATGAGGTAAGAGATAAGAATGGATAAAACTTTGTTACAGAATGATTTACAAGGGCAGAAACATCAATGTAGAATGCAGAAAGAAACATTAACATATGCAAAAATAAAAAATAAATTTATGCTATGTACTTACAATTAATATTAATAAAACAAAAATTTATATTTCACATCTTTGGTTACATGTATTAAAGCAAATATGTGCGAACTAAAATGTGGTTCTTGTCAAAACACAGAGATATAAGTAGGAAGACAATTTATATAACAGAAATGACACTTCTGCTATTGGAGAGATTTACATCACCTTTCAGTACTCTCCTCTGCAATTTCTGAAACAAGAAGAAACACGGTAGAATATCCCAAAACAGATAAATAAAAACACAATGTTTACAAAGTTATTTTAAATGAAAATGCAATGTTATATAATCAGTTCCACAAAGGCAGTCCATGTGGAGTTTACAGACTCTAGGTCATGTTAGTGTCTAAGCACTTTTGTTTTCTCATCAATCATAGTGTCACTCTTGCCTCAATAAGTTCAAATGGATGTAATGATTGAATTACTAATGGCAGTAAACTGAAACCTGAAAGGTGGAATACCTCTAGTCGCATACTGGTGCAAATAGCATTAGAAGTGATAAGACATAAACAGACATCATGATACGAGGCTCGTCCACAAAGTAAGTTTCCCTGGGGCCGTTTACAGAAACAAAACACAATTTCATGGAAATATTTATAGCAACAGATACAGCAAGTGTCCAGCTATTTTTCAACATATTCGCCACCGGAATTGAGACATTTGTCATACCGTGGGACCAACTTTTGAATACCTGTGTCGTAGAAGTCTGCCGCCTGGAATTGGAACCACTGTGTGACAACCATCTCCGCCTCTGTCATTCTCAAAACGCTGACGCTGACCGGACAGGAATTTCTTGAGGTGTAGGAAAAGATGGAAATCGCTGGGAGCGAGGTCCGGGCTGTAGGGTGAATGATTAAACACCTCCCAGCTGAACTCCTGCAGGAGACTTGCTGTCCGTCGAGCCGTGTGCGGCCTAGCGTTATCGTGCAGGAAGACAATACCGGCACTAAGCATCCCGCGCCGCTTGTTCTGAATGGCCTGCTGAAAATTGTCTGCACCAGTGACGCACCATCTGCTTGCTCATGACGTTAGGCCCATAGACCCGGCACAGCTGACGATGAATTTCGATCGGCGCTATGCTCTGTGCATTCAAAAACTTTATCACTGACCGCACTTCACAGTCGGCGGGAGCTGGAATAAGAACCTCCATCTTCAACAGCTGCAACGATGCTACTATGAGAACGCGGGAAGTACCGTTAGTGCATGTGCCATGCTACGTCATTGCTCTATCACGTACGCACAGTCGCTTCGCGCAATATAAGGTTTGCTAGCTGTGGGACGAGTGGGAAACTTACTTTGTGGACGCGCCTCGTATCATAGCCAATCTTCCCATACAATATAAGGGAAAAAGGCTCAAAGTGTACAAGTCTGAGTATGTAAACCAAGGTATCTTCTGTTCTATGAATTTACCTCACCACGTAAGTTCTTACATGAAGACAGAGACAGAATCAGTCTCTGAAACACAGTGAAATTCAGAACTTATAATTTTTATAACTAACGGAAAATGTCTAAATCCAATCCGCAACTCAAATGTTAGACTTTAATAGAATGTCTATGCGTTACCACAACATTTAAAATAACCTCACTCTCTGATCTAATAAAACAAGTTCTTGTTGGTCTGCGCAGTGCTACTATTTTGCGTGAAGACCTTGAAATTTCACACGCGTGCCACGACTCGAAAGTTTCAAGTTTTACGGCACGATTTTAACACTTGTAGCAAACGTTTTTCTGTTTTATCAGTTATAATATTGTAAAAATACGTTTTGTAAATATAACATTAAATATTTCATACCTTTGTTGCTCCTCATAATGAGATCACATTTTTAACTTAAAATTACATTCTTTTAGGAGTGTGGTGCTAATAATAATTCACAGCAAAAGATTCAAACCAACATGGCGAATGGGCTGCATGATTTGGCTGGCTTCACAGCAACTTTTCCATAACGTGCTGGGATGCTTGCAAATACCTTACTATACAGTATGTATTACATGTTTTGTAGTTTATATAACATAAGGTCAAGGCCCTCTATTTGAAACTATGCACATTCTTTCAAATGTCAACTTCTAAATAAGAAATGGAATAGTGCAACAGAATAAACAGACTTCAAAATTATATTAATGATATTTTAGTCAGTGTAAAGAAGAAATTATTCAAATTGGACTGCAATAAGCTACAGTTTCTCTTTTACATTCTGTAAATCTTCATCAAAGCTATTCAAAATATAAAAGTGCAAAAACACACGGCAAAACAATATTCTACGGTATGGATTGCACATTTCTAGTTTTGTTAAATTAACTTACAGGTGACAGGAATGTAAGTGAATACAGATAAGGGTTTTGTTTATTGAAACAGCACATCAACCACAGAGGTTACACACTATTAAATTAGAAATAGGATTATTGTTAGCAATAAATGGGTTATAGCCAATTTTAAGATCTAATTTGCATTTTTGTAATTACTCAAAAGGAATGTGAAAAACTACATAAACCATACACCAAAGTTGCTGGATTTGCAGAAGATGCCCAAAACAAAGTACAAGTGTTTACCGCTGCATTGCTACTTGCAGTAGGTTCATACTCACCCTTGCAAAAATCTCAGCCATGAGTCTATTGGTACGAAAGTCTTCTTTCTTTTTTTTCTCTGCCTTCTTACTGAGTACTTCTGGCAGGCTGCGATATTTGCGCTCTGTCTGTGCACGCATTGTGTGCTGGCTGAATATTCTCTTTATAGCTGAAATATATCAATGTCTACATGTGAGGCTTATATAATCAGCTCTCTAATTTCCTGTCATTATGCTGATCACTTGTTTTACAAAATGAAAGTGTCCCTTGAAGTTTGCCTGTTAATACAAAATTTGTTAAGAAGATGGCTGTCTTCTGAGACCTTGCTGTTTTCATGATCTGGACAATCTTAAATGTTGGTAAACATCTACCACACTACATGATGCTACAATCTAGAAAATAGCCAACTTTATACTCACTGTCATGAGAACATCAAATCCTACAAAAATTTATTTATATATTTAAAATAACGTCCTCCATTAACTTAAAGGCAGTATATAAAGATGGTGACTTGAGGAATATAACTACATATATGTACACAAATTTATTTATTTTGATGAGGACCTGAAAATCAAAATTTAGAAGAAGATACTTTTTATATAAAACTCACCAAAATCACTAATGCTGCTAGAAGCACATGCAGCAAACAGAGCAGTGCAGAGATGGCAACTATTGATGCAAGGGTTAGGAGGAACTATGAACAGGGCTGGAAACATATGTATGGCTTGGTATTAGAGAATCATTAGATTTGGGGTCTTAAAGTAAACAAAACATCTGAGCATTTCCCTTACCCATTGGTGATTGAGGCAAAGGTCCAATATTCACTGATGCAGTGTTGTCACCATTAAAATGAGGTATGTGGCTTGCAAGTGCCAACAACTGTCTGCTTTCCTGTCTAAGTTCTCGTAAGTATGCCAACTCATGAAGGCACTGTCGACGGTACTCAGCATTCTGAATGAAGTCAGGGCGTCTTGCCATAAGGTATTCCTGTTGAGAAGCATTACAATTATCTATAAGAAATGAGTATAACCATTTCAATAAAAATCTCACAAATTTAACAAACAGACAGGCATGTAAATGTAATACTGTAGTTTGTAGTATTAGTATGGCTTATCAAAGACCAACAGACCCTAGTTCAGCGGTTTGTACCCTCTTTAAATGCACATCCCCACCTAATCTCCCAAAATCTCTATACCCCCTCTCCATCACAGAGAGACTACTAAATACAATTTTGAGGTTCAGTTAAGTTTGATAAATTGTATTTGCAAGGCACATTGTACTTTCTAGAGGTATGCATATTAATAATGGTTACAACTCTCCTAAAAAACAACCACAGTGCCAAAGAGCACATGTATGCACATGGACTGCTCAAAGAGTGAGATTGTGAATTCAAATCAAATTCAGGGTAGGGACAAATAACCTTCTTTTTCTGTTGTTTTCTCCTGTTTGATAAAGCGATCCACTATCCAAGGAGTCCCACCAAACGATTAAAGGATTCGATGCATTATACTTATTCTGACCAGAAGATGCCATAAACTCTTTCTCAGGTTAACATGCACTTTTACAGTCCTGAATGGAAATTCTTACCTGTAGAGTATGTTCTTCTCTACACTTATTCCTTTGGAGTTCATCTTCAGGAAAAGATCTGTCTTCCATACTTGTTACGGATTTATGATTTTCTTTAGAAAACTTCATGCTTGATTTTAAAACTGCCTTTTGGAATTTTTTCCTTCTTTTTCCTTTAGCAGAAATTAAATGATTCTTCCTTTCAGGGACTTTAATTTTAATTTCTTCTAACATCTTCTTTTCTGACCTTTCTGCCATGGAAGAGACTGGATCTGTAGATGTTTCAAGAGTTAAAATATATCCAATAGGAGACTTTTGTGTAGTAGATGTATTGTTGCTAGTACTACCAAAATCAATTTGTTTCTCTTTTCTTTCATTACAGTCCTTCTGAAGTCCACAATTCATGCATTTATCAAACACTGGTCTTGCATTATCCAGCTTCCTTGCTAAACAGTCACTACACTTCCAAGAAGTATCCTGGTTTTGAACACCATCTTGCTGTGAGATCTGTAGCTGAGATTCCAATACACCACAAATTTGGCATTTTCTATCATATCTTTTAGCTTGTTCCAGTTTCAAACATCTAGAACACTTCCACTCATTGGTAGTGTCCTGTGATGACTCTGATATGGTGTCATTCTGATCTTCAAGAGCACCACAGCAAGGACACACCTTACAACTT